CTGCGGGGCGGGACAGGTGATGGTCCTCTCTTGCTCTAGGTCAGTCAGGACATTGAAAGAGAGGAAGCTAGGTCAGTCAGGACATCCAAAGAGAGGAAGAACACATACACACACACACACACACACACACACGCGCACACACACACACACACACACACACAAGGGTTGGCTGGCACGGTTCACTCATCTTTGAGGAGAGTCAAGGTATATTTATTTCAGCCCTTAACATAATCCTCACAAATCCAGGGTTGTGTAGGAATATACACGTCCAAAGACCACCATCGTGAAAAGAGTGACTCAACAAAAACTTTTACTTCCTTCACATGAACACCAAAGGCTTTCTAAGAACTCCAGAGGAGATGGATACCCCAAAAGCCTAAATTCACCACAGTGATACTGTCATTCCATTCATATTCTTGGTAGAAGAATGAAAGCACAGACTTCTCCCTTCTCTCCCTTGAGAGAGCCGTCAGTGCCTATTAGAGAAGAAATGTAGAATTCAAGAAACGAAACCCCAAATTTCCTGCCGCTTTTTACATAATTGTTCTCTCTACTCTCTCAGACAATTTGAACAGTTTCCCTATAACTACAATAGACATAGCTCGCTGATCTCTCTTTTCTGCTGGGTGTGTAAATTCTCACAAAAAGTCGCCCGTGAAGTCACTCTCTTTTATCCTCAAAGGACTATCAGTTCGAACCAATAATATGTCTCAGGAGCCAGAATGATGGGCGCCGGTTGCCTAATGCAAAGTCTGCCAACTAGAAATCTCACCTTAGGACTATACGATTGCCCTCAACGCTATAGTCTTAATTACTAGTGAACTCGGGGTAACAGCTAGTTTGAGTTCTCCCTAAACACATGAGTGATGTTGAATGTCTGATGTCTTTCTAAGGTGCCTTTCAAATAGAGAGTATGATCTGGCTACCACATTACTAGTATATGAACCTAGATAAATCCCTGTTACTTTGGGGGGAAGGTATTTACTGGAGTTCATATTTCAAGTAGATTTATGAGCCATGAAAAAATGAGATATACTCCTGTGTCAGTGAGGGTGGGTACTGAACACAGATGGGGCTTAGCCTTTTAGTTTGTATACATAGTAATAACAAATGGAGTGACACACCAAGAAATTTTTTTAAACTATTTTTTCCTTTTTGTATCAATGAAGTTCTAGTAGCATTATGAAGGCTTACTGTTAAAACGTTTCTCATGGGAGTTCCTCCAGGTATATATGTGAACCAGATCTTAAAATCCTTCCACTTATTATCATAAAGTATAATCAAGACATTTCCTACATTATTTTAATGTTCGTGAGATTTTAGATTTATGTTATTTTAGAAATAATTTCTGAGAAACGTAATAGATAGAATATTACATATCTGATCCATGTGTGAGCCACTAATTCAACATGTAACCACGAGTCTCAGGCACACTGACAGGCCCTGGGGGACCTTAAGAGGGAAACCCCAAAGTCTCCCACAGAGCAGGGAAGTGAGACAAGTAAACCAATAATTATGTTATTTTTGATAAATGGTGTGATCGACGTAATGGAGAGCACAACAGGAACACTGAGTAGTGCAGAAAAGGATTCTTATGGAAAGTGATATTTCAATGGAGTCTTGAACTTGAGTGAGAGTTAGCAGATCGAAAGGAGGTAAGAAGGTCACTGCAAAGAAGTGCAAAAATACGATGATGCTCAAGTCAGGGTAGTGCTCCAGGAATAGCAATGATCTCTGAAGCATAGGAGGATGAGGATGAAGAAGGCAGTGACCAAAAAGATTGAAAAAACTAGGGATTATGGGCTTTATGTTTTTAGACAGGTTATTCTAACTTGGAAAAGACATTGTGCGAACACTAGAAGTAAGGAAATGAATTATGAGCACACTTCAGCAGTGCCGCTGAGAGGTAACTGGCAGGGAGGATGCATAGATGGTGTGAGAGTTAAAGATGTGGGAAATAAACAGAAGGTAGATTTCAAAGAACACACTGAATATCTGAAAGTGGAGGTGACCTAGGCAAGGGTCCCCAATCCCCAGTCCGCAAACTGGTACCAGTCCGTGGTCTGTTAGGAACTGGTGAATGGGGCCACACAGCAGGAGGTGAGTGGTGAGCAGGTGATGAGCAAAGTCTCACCTATATTTGCAGCCACTCCCCAGCGCTAGCATCACCGCCTCAACTCCACCTCAGATCATCAGGCATTAGGCTCTCATAGGAGCACCAGTCCCTGGTGCCACAAAAGTTGGGAACCCCGGACTTAAAGGACTCTAGGGGCCAGGGACATGATGAATGAGTGGATAGAAGTTCCACTCATATAAATGTGAATGAAAAAGGCTCACTGGATGGCGAAGAGAGAAAGCAAAAGGAACTGAGTCAATAAATCCACTAGTACCATGTAATGGGAGGTTGCTATGAGATATCCAGGTAAAAATGTCAACTAAGATATGTGGGTATGAGTCTTCAATTTTTAGAAGAACGCCTGGGCTGAAGACACAGACCTGAGACTTATTAGCTTATCAGTCACAGATGGAACCCAGGGTGCTGATGTGATCTCCCAGAGAAAGGGCAAATATGTGAGTTGTTTAGGAAGCCACGGCAACTTAAACCCCGAATATTCATAGTTAACATGCTTAAGGAGGGCAATTCCTTCAGATGAACTGAAAAGCTACCCTCTCCCTACTACTGAGAAACTCCCTCCCCCAGCACACACAAAGGTTTTTAAACTAAAATTCCTGAGACAGTTTAAACCACTTCTCTTTCTTCTGAAAGAAGACAGGCAAATGAAACAGAAGAAACATAGAGTTTTAATGAAAAATAAGAAAGGGAGAAAGGAAGAAAGAAAAGAAATGAAGAGAAAGAAGGATGGAAAAACCGAAGGAAGGAAATAAAGAATTATCTTTCTGACTTGGCTGCAGTAGTAAACTTCGGACGACCGTGGATGAAAGACAGAAAATCTTGGCAGACTAAGGAGGTGGAACAACACATAAAAAGGTCTTAATGGCCAGGCTAGGCTGCCTTTAAACTGGAAACTCGGCCTGGAAACCCAGTGGGAGAAGTTCGATTTCAAAACAAGGACTTCTGGTGAAATAGAAAGAAGCGATCAAATCCCAGAAGGTGAATAAGATTAGTGAGTGAGAGAAATTAAAGTTCAGTGAACAAGTCTTAGATAACAACTGGGTATTTTGCTTTCCTTTGAAAATGTGCCAACTGTATTGATTTTCTAAAAATATAATGTTGAGCAATGTTCACCATAATTAGTAATAAATATTTATCATTTTAAAGTTTTATATGTGTTCTTTGTAAAAATGAAAAGCATACTATTATTGCCATGTCACATGGGTCTTTCAAAGGACTCAAGGCTGCTTTGATGGAACCACTATTGCCCCCTGGTGGGGAGTTACTGTTTTGGGGTTGAGGTGTGCTTCTTGAACCTCTGCCTAGCTAAATCAATGAAGTCACAACACCTGTCACGTGTGTCATGGACACAAAAAGAAAACTATTTATATTAGTTTTTATGTGTGAAGAAAGCCCAGATGAATTCTTAACACAGTTACTAAAGAAATACAAATTCTTTCTCAAGGGCAAGAGGTGTTTGAAACAACCTGAAAACAATGTCATGTCTGGTAAGATTATGAAATACAGAAGCACAAGGCATGCGAATGGGAGTTGTTTGCTTGTAGACACTAACTCAGCATTGTATATTCAGCCTGACAGAAGGTAAATGCATCAGGTATAAGCTAGGAGTTTCACTAATTACAAAATATAACAAAACAAGATACAGCTAAACGGGATCTCTGGATGATGATTTAGGAAATGTGCTGGGGACGTCCAAAGTGACTCTGGGAAAGGAGGAAGCAGACAAGAGAGGATCTCTCACCCCAGCTTCAGACTTAGAAGCAGACATCAAAATCTAAAACACATTAAAAGCCCTGTCTAACGCTGTTCCTCGACATACGCCGTGTCAGAAAGAGCAGTGAAGTCAAGTTTTGGAAGTGAGCTATGGCACCTGTATCACTGGTTTGCTCTAGGCACTTCCGTAGATTGCCATATTGACTCAGTAAATACCTGGCAAGGCATGCCCTCGCTTCGCAGGCACTAGAAGAGCCAACCATTCAGTAAAATAGGTAACCATGCATCGCAGGCCACAAACAGGAGCTTGGGTCCCTCGCTGTGACAGAAGAATGACCCAAGGGTGAGCCCCGAAATGATCTTACTTTGAGTCAGATGAGGCATATGGCATGATATACAGAAGATGCTCAAAAAGATGCCCCCAAATCCCCATTTTTTTCCATCCCCTTCTTCCATCCCAAATAGATAGTTCAATTAAAAATCAGATTAAGGGACACTAAAAAATTAATATCTAGTCATTATCACCTTATCTCAAATCAGTTTATGAAAAAGGAAAGGGCCAAGGACAGGGGGGATACACTTTGTTTAAGCATTGAGTCGTGCGTCAGGTTAAATCTAGAAAGTAGGATGCCACGCGGCATGGCAAATCGAGCTGACGCACCAGAGTACACAGGACGCCAAAGTGGGAGCATCAGAAAAAGGACAATTCACCAACAGGCAGAAGGCGATGCAACCTGGAGGGAGGTGAGCCCAAATCCAGCTCTGCTGTCGGAGAAACCAACCTTCTCCAAGTGAGTGAGCAAAGAGGAGGCCGACAGCCTGCCTTCTTAAAACAAAACAAGAAAGAACGCGTACATCTGGATGCATTTTTACGACCCTAGAATCACTCGATGATTTTCCGCTGGTCCCAGGAAATACATACTCAAGCGGTCCGTGGAGAAGCAGCATCAGTCTAGCACGCAATACAATAATAACTTCTAAAAGTGGTTGCTATATAGGAAATATGAAGAAAAAAATGCGAGAGAGATCGAGGAGCTGCTGGGTGTGAACCTGGTTCCTCTCTCCAGACAGGGAGGCCCCGCCCATGCGCATGCTCTGCATTCTCGACTCCAGGGTCTCCGTGTTCCCATGGGCGGGCAAGGGGCAGACTCACTCATTGAGTAAAGGCATGGATGTTCTCCTCTTGCTCTTCTGCACCATGTTGGCCTGATTCCTCAGGGAGATCTGGATCATAGCCGGGGCCAGCCTGCAGGGCTCCCCGTCCACTTGCATGGGGATGGACTTGTAAGTCAGCAGCGTCACCTCCCGACACTGGTGCAACCTTTCCCCGTGACCCCCGACTTGCAGGGCGGCCTGTAAAAACAAGGGCCGAAAGGAAGCAAGGAGTTAGTTCTAAAGAGGTACACGGGAAAGCTACAAGTCTACCATGTAAAGCAAAAGGCCTTATATGGACACATGGAAAGTCGTTAGCCGTGAGTAAAACGGGAAACCTTGGATAAATCATAGACACGAACGAACTAAAATTTCTAAACTTTTGATGAGCTTGACCATAAATTCTCATAGCCACTTTTAGCCTTCATTTAACCATGTTAGTTTAATACAGAAGTTGTTCTTTGTGTTAAAAAATGTAAGTCAAACAAAAAAGAATGAGATTAAAGCACATAGTTTAAGACAGCTTCTATA